AATTTTTCATAACTTAGAATTTTTCTAAGTTATGAAAAACCCTAATTTTTTCCCAACTTTGCCCCACTTTTTCACCATGATCCATTTGGATTAAAACAAAAGTCCAAACATTAAAGTTGTAGCTTGTTGCATAATCTACAACTTTGATTCACAAAGTTTTCTCATTTGAAGCTTTCATCTCAAGTTACAAATTTTTGAATAAGGGCACTAAACCATTCTTAACTTAGTGAAATTTGACCTATTTTGACAAGGTTTTCTACCCCACTTCAAGGCCATTTTCCATACACTTCCACTTGGAATTTCAATTTGCATTTCAAAGATGGATTGTAGTACACATTCCAAGCTTTCCAAAATGTCCAAGAACTTCTCAAACAACTTCATGGTTAGGGAGAATCGAATTTCACAATATGGCAAAAACTCACTTTGTTCATGACCAAGTTCCATGTCCATAACCTTGCAATTTGAACTCAGCATGCTTTAGGCTAGATTACAGGTCCTTAAACCAAGTTACACTCAATAATTTAATGCTTGTTCATTGTGTCAAAGTGTTATTCTATGAGTTCAAGTATTGTATACAAGCCTAGTCCATTTTTAGATAAAGTGAACTATCCATTTTTGCAAAAGTTCACTTTATGTCCAATTGGTAAATCAAGCAAGTACAAACCAAATCTTTTTGGCACAAGATTATGAACAAATTACTCTGATCAAGAAGAGCTTTGCAGCAGGATTAGAGGTCCCCTACTGACCTAAAACACCAACTTGCATTTTGTTGCTTAAAGGTTAAGAAACATTGCATAACTAAGGACAACTTCCATCTCAGCTTACATACACAAGAACAAAGTTATCAAACACATTACACATATCATAACCAAGCTATTGCACGAGCCATTGACCTCCAAAACATCATCAAACCAAAAAACACCATCAAACTGCAAAAACAGAGTTGCCTCTGCAGTTTGAGTGCCAACTTCTATTTCTCTCAAGCATTCTTGCCAAAACCAGTTCACATACCTTCCTTACCACCTATGCAAGCTAACCATGCCTTGAAACACGACCTGTAACTCCTCTAACAAGTTCCACCATTTTTACTTTTCCATTTTACAGTTGAAGTTCTGCAGCTCAGTTCAAGGTGTCTCAAGGCAAAGTAGATATTGGAACAGCATCACCACACCTCAAGGAAGCTATACCAACCAGTATCTTGCACTGTAAGCTCCCCATTTGCCAGTTAGAACTTCAGCTGAACAGGTAGTTTTTTGAATTCGTATCTCTCTTATTAGGCATCATTAGCTTTAAGTTTGTGAATAAACAAGGTTCTACTCATGCCACTGAACATGTACATGTTTTTACTTTTCATTTCTTTTGCTTGATTTGTGAGAATTTGGAGTTTGAAAATGGCAGAAAAACTAGGTTAGGATTTGGGGGAGGAGAAATTCTCCCTCATCTTAGAGAGTTAGATCAAGTTATGCATATGGTTAGAATCGTGGTTTCATGCTTAACATCTTTTGTGTTGGAAGTTTGCTCAAAAAATCAAAGAATCAGGACATTCGAAGGAAGCTTGCTGGCGCGCGTTTTTTGAACAAACTTTGTTCAGAGGTTGAAGAAGGTGTCTTCTTGGGCTGGGCCTGAGCAATTTTCTTATTCACACCACTTTTCCTGTTTTGCACCCCTGAGCCCATTTGCTTCATTTTTAATATTTTGACTTTTTGCCTTTTTGTGATTGGTCCATTTATTTTTTCTCAGCATATTAAAAACATAAAAATATTTTTCCCATCATTTTTTGAATATATTGCATATTTCTTTAGTTTGTACATAAATAAATGAATATATATATATATATATATATATATATATATATATATATATATATATATATATATATATATATATATATATATATATATATATATATATATATATATATATATATATATATATATATATATATATATATATATATATATATATATATATATATATATATATATATATATATATATATATATATATATATATATACTTTTTTGTTTAAAATATTAAGATAATACAAATATACTTTTTATACACTTTTATTTTATTTTACTCCCTGAAAATATTTTATAGAAAAATACTTTTTTATTTTTAAATACTAAATATTATTAATTAATATATATAATGCATATTTTATAAATAATATAAATAAACAAGTATATTAATATATTTAGGATAAAAATACCAAAAAATGTACATATTTTATTTTTTAATATTTAATACTAAAAAAATGCCTTTTTACAAATATACCATATTTTATTTTATTTTTGTATATAAATAATAAGTATTATATGAATTAATTGATTAAATACCCCTTTGATTAAAAAATTAGGGTTTTTGCCCTAAACTTAAAAATACTCTAAAAGTAATACCTTTTTATTTTTTTTTTATAAATAATACTTTTTTTTCATACATATAAAAAAAAATTTCTTTTTTTTGCATTCTTGCATATTTATTTTATTTCTATTTTATTTATGCTTTTGATCATATTGTAAATATTCAAGGCAAAAGATGTAATAGCTTAGATTCAATTTATTGTCTAAATACCTCCCCATTTGAACATTGTACCCCCCTCCCTATATTATTGTGATGTAATAGCGTAGGAATTTAAATTTCGCACTTTATCGCTTTCTAAACATACTATGCTAGAATTAGGGTTTTGTATGCAAATAAAAATGAACAAAATAGTTGGACCTAATACAAGATAAATGAGCATGAAAATGGACAACACATTTCACACTTGCACCCCTAGGGTATTCCACTTTGTTGCCTTCAAATAATTGGGCCATATTGCATGTTGAACTTCTTTGGGTAAAAACAAACAATCAAATGATCATAGTCCCACAAAATGTTGCTTAAATAAATGATCAAGTCCCTTTTTAAAGAAGATTTCCCAAAGACATTTAACACTATTGCAACTATGGTCTAAACGATGACCCGCGCCCGTCCCTTTAATCTCCTAAAACAAGATTGTCCACCAAATGCAATGGTGGAACAAAATTGTCAAAAGGTTTAAAACATAAACAAAAATCTTTGAGGAAACTTTAGGGTAGATGAACTCTTAAGTACTTGTCAACTTTCCAAGAAAACACTTGCCTTATTTCAAAACCCGCTTCACAAACACTTTCAAAACCAACTTTCAAAAAACCTTGAAACATCTTTTAAAAGACAAGACACCTTTTGTAAAACATTCGAGTAAAGAATTGTTACAAGGGTAGCCTATACAAGGCATCTTTTCAAAACATTTTCAAAAATCACACACTAAACACCATTTCAAACAATTGAAAACCAAGGCAAGTTGATCTAGGCAAGTACCTAAGAGCCCATGGATAACCATGGATAGAAGGGGTGCTAATACCTTCCTCTTCTATAATCTACTCCCCGAACCCAAGAAAAATCTCAAAGGTTTTTGCTGTGCTTTTTAAACCTTTCCTTAGGATAAAATAAAAAGTCAGTGGCGACTCTTGCTCAACCGAAACATTTGCGAAAACAAACGCAAAACCCTAGTCAGTTCTCCCACCGTATCACACCCACGTTCAAACCAAGTATTAATATATCAATCGATACTATTTTATATGGTAGTTGGTGTTTATTATGTATGCAAAATAATTGATAAAGTTATGAATGTACAAACTGACAAATTATGAACCTAAAAGTTATCGCAAGATACCTTGATAGAAGGGTATTATAGAATTTATATTTTTAGTATTGTTATTGATATGGGTAATAATAGAATTTATATTATTAATATGGTTATTGGGCTTTATTTGTATTTGGGAATTTTTAATTAATGACCTATTAGTATCATTATATGTGTAGTGTCTTTGACACATTTTAGGGTATCAATCAAATGAAATGAAGTTTATTTTTCTTAGTTATTTTTTATTGTCTTTTATTTTTTAGATTTCTTTAATTTTGTTAGGGTTCTAGCTTTAGCATTCTATCAATTGGTGCTTCATTTCAATCTCATTCCCGCTAAATAGAGTTTGTGATATCATTTTTAAAATTTTATGAAATAGAAGAAACATATTGGTGGATCCTTTCTACAGAGCCAAAAATATTGTCGAAGATGAGGAAAAGATGAAAGTGGTTGAAATCCAATGAGAGGTCGTGATCTCAAATAGTGAAAATAGCGCTCTCAATCTCATCCATGGATGTCCTAGAGTATGTTTGCACATGTATTTATTTGGCCTTTTAAACCTGAATAGAGACACCTTTTTCAAAATTTAGAAGAGGAAATGAACCAACTTATAAATTAGTAGAATTTCTGAACTTGTTGAACAGGACGTAGAAGAATCATCATATTTCATAGAACACAACTGGTGCAACTCAATCTGTATGAAACCCAACAACCATTGTTTTTGGGGAGTCAGATTCAGAGTTGAAGCGTTGTTTCACTTCATCACCACCATCAAAGCCAGACCATTTGAGCTCTTATGACGTTGATGATGAGTTATTGTTGTTTCTGACCGATGCAATACTATCCAGCACTGTGGTGGATGCTCTGATCCCTAACACCGAACCATATAACCCAGGACCACCCAAACCTCCTCTCACATCCAGTCGGTCGCCGCTAATCTCAACGGATTCAAAACTTCAGATTTGCGCACCTACCCACAACCTTACACCCCCTGATGCTGATTATGAAGTTCCACCAAAATCCCCTGATGTTATTTCAAATATTGAAAGAATTCACACACCTGGAAAAACAAAATATGCACATAAGGTGTTTGATGAAATTACTAACACAGATATTGTTGCTTACACTTCCATTATCAACGCTTATGCTCACTCTGGTGATTCCTCTGCTTATGGTGCTTTCAAGATTGCTTCCATAATGCAGCCGCAAGGGCTGCTTCTGAATCACGTTATGTTATGTTAGCGACGAAATCTGCGGTGCTGCAAGAGGGTCGTGTGATTCATGGTTATGCTGTTAGGAGAGGTATTGTGGAGTTTCAAAGTCATTGATCGATATGTACTATAAATGTGGTGAGATACATATGACTCGTCGTATTTTTGACCGGGTGTGGGTTATGGATAAAGTTAAGGGAGAGTTGATGTTGGTTGTTTGGATGGGTACACATGCGGATCATTTTATCGTTGCAGTTTGTGAGAATATGATCAATGGAACAGGTATGCAGCCTGGAGACATTCTCACAGCTTCAAATGGAAATACTATTGAGGTTAACAACACTAATGCAATTGGTTCAGGTGTTGATGGGTATGACGAAAATTGTCTCCAAATCAAACTTTTCTTCTTGCACTTACATGCATTGCTGCAATTGTTGGGCTTTTAGGTTTGGACCAGAGCTACCCATGGCAGTCAAAATATGGTCATTCTGATGGGAATTATACTGAAATAGAGAAGGGTGACAAAAAAATCTTTGATGATAATGCTTCAAAAGCTGAACTGTCTAGTCATGTACCAAAAACGTTAATGCCATTTGATAGAAATGTTGGTAATTATGCCTCGCACAAGACTGCTTCACCCAGGGTGATGGATACAGAATCTTCTAATGGGACTATTGTAAAGCAGTATTTTGGAGATTCCAATTCTCATTATTCAGTTGAAAATTCTGTTCATGATGATATTGATTTTGCGATTCCGCCGAAACCACCTGATCAGATTATTACTGGGTTTTTATGTTGTGGAGAAAGTGAATTTCAAAGGACCATGGAAGATGGAAATGATAAACAATAGAGACCAAAATCCAACAATGAAGAAGATGTCATAAACTAATTACCAGAAGGAATTCCTATAAACATTTTATCAAAACTACAAATCCATGAAGCTGTTAGAACAAGCATCCTATCAAGAAAAAGGAAAAATCTATGGACTTATTTTTTCGGGACATTAGAATTCAACTGTTTGCCTATTATGAAGACATGAAGAAAGATATGAAGAAGATTACAGGAAGAAGTTTGCAAATGGCTATGGAAATCATGTATGGTGCTGAGAGACAAACATATACAAATTGGATCAATGAATTGTTAGCTTCGCTTAAAAGTTCGTCTCTACGAGGATTGAAGGTTTGGTTTCCTGTGAAAAATGTTTCTGATGTTGATAACTGGATTCAGTTTGCAGTTTGTAAAAAATTTCGAACGCTTGAACTGTATTTCGGTCGTGCAATCGATTATGTTCTTCCGTTGGAACTATTTAAGGTGGAGAGGTTTAATTCTTTATGTGTTTTGCGTATGAAATCGATTAGTGTCACCAAAGAGATGCTGGAGTGTTTACTGTGTACTTGTCTGTTGCTTGAAACATTGAGTTTGGTTGATTCAGAAGTTCCGAAAACTATGAAGGTTTCAGTTTCAGGTTCTCATTGAAGTTGAAATGTTTAGAGTTGGTAAGATGTTTGGAGTTGACAAAAGAAATATTTGCTGAGAAATTAGTGTCATTCAAATACTATGGGCCTAATTTGGAGACAGAATTCAAGATTGTCTCTAGCCTTGTGGAAGCATCTTTTGGAGGATCCTTTGTGGAGTTTGTTAGAGAAAGCTTTATGTTGCAAATAAAAGTGTTTAAATTGGATGTGAATTCTTTTGAAGTATCTGTGGAAGCCTTAATCAGTAGTGAAAGAACATGCCTTCTTGTTTCTGCAGAGAATGAATATGCTATCATTGTGTCAACATCACAATATGGAAAATACATTGTTGTCTTTGATCTTTTGGATGGATTCTCAAATATTGATTTTGGAGTTTCTATAGGAATTAGTTTTGGTATTTGCATGGTGAAGAATAAAAATATTGTTACAATTAAAGATGCATTGGAACCTAGTAACAGATTAGTAGCATCTGGTTATTGCATATATGGATGCTCTTGCACGTTTGTGCTTAGCACAAGATATGGAGTGAATAGTTTCACACTTGATCCTTCCCTTGGAGAGTTCATATCAACTCATGCAAGCATTAAGAGGTATGGATTTGGCAGCTTGGTTCATGGGAAGAAGTTGGTGGCTTGCAATCTCATAGTTTAAAAGTAATTCTCACATTTTGGCTTTGGTAATTTCATGATAGACATGAGTACTGACATTGCAAAAGAATTTATTATGCCAGCTCTTTGATATAGAACCTTGAGCTCTTTGATATAGAACCTTGAGGACAAGGTTCAAGTGAACTCGACGGTAATGATAAAAGGGTATTATAGAATTTATATTATTAGTATTATTATTGATAAGGGTAATAATAAAACTTATATTATTAGTATGGTTATTGGGCTTTATTTATATTTGAGCATTTGTAATTAATGACTTATTAGTATTATTATATATGTAGTGTCTTTGACACATTTTTTTAGAGTATCAATCAAATGAAATGAAATTTATTTTTCTTAGTTATCTTTTATTGTCTTTCATTTTCTACCTTTCTTTAATCTTGTCAGGGTTCTAGCTTTAGCACTCTATCAAACCTTTCCTTCACCTCATCCATCTTGAACCAAGTATAAATATAAATATATCAATTAGTAATATTTTATATTGTAGTTGGTGCTATTTATGCGAGTAAAGTAATTGACCAAATTATGAATTTACAAAAAGAGAAATTATTGTTATAAATATTTAATTAGTTTATTGTTTTTATTATTTGTTATTTTATTAGTAATTTAAGTTTGGATATTTAGTAAAACCCATTAGGTCAGAATACTCTATTAAAGAGATTAATACTTATATATTAATAATCATAATAATAATATTAAATTATTCAGTTTTGATATGGTATCACGAGCTCTCGTTCGAGAGGGTCTCGCTTTCGCTTAAAAAACCTTAGCCGCCTTAATTGCGGTTATTTTCATTAAAAACCTAGTCACTTTCATCGCGTCACTGTTCACCGTACATTGTTCTTTGAGGTATTATTCATCCGCATTGTTCACACACCGAACTGTTCATCTCGATATTGTTCACACGCGGCATTGTTCATCGCAATTTATTCACTCTGGGATTGTTATTATTCACCATGCACTATTCACTTCGCTGTTGTTCAAACAGTTGTGCGTATCTCCATCGACTTCTCAACCTCACACTCGCTTGTGGTGTTTTACTTGTATTTGTTTTTAAATTTCTTCAATGGCCGACGGTAAAGAAGAAACTGATGGGTACAAGTCTGAATCAGAATTACCTATTATTCCTCAGGTTTACAAGTTGAATGGAAAGAATTACTTGAAATGGTCTCAACTCGTGAAAACGATCTTAAAAGGTAAAGGAAAAGCAAAAACACCTTACAGATGAACCTCTTAAAGAAACAGATCCTAAATTTGAAAAGTGGGATACTGAAGATTCAGCGATCATTGCATGGTTATGGGCTTCAATGACTCCAGAAATTAGTGACACTTGCATGTTCCTAACTACGAAAAAAAGAGATTTAGAAAGCATTAGAAGAAACTTATTCTAAAGCCAGAGATGCTGCTCAAATATATGATGTGAATGTGAAAACACTGGGAACTAAACAGGGCAACAAAAAAGTTACAGAATATGCTAATCATATCAAAGCCTTATGGATGGAGTTAGACCACTACAGGGTTATCAAAACCGAGTGTACAAGAGATGCAACAACACTTATAGAGTAGATTAAGCAAGACAAAGTCTACAATTTTCTGGTAGGACTCAACTCTGACTTTGATCATGTTAGAGTACAAATTCTTGGCAAAGGAAAAGTGTCGAACATTAATGATGTAGTGTCTATAGTGAGAAGTGAAGAAAGTGGAAGGGAATTAATGTTGACACCACCACATGTGGAAAGCTCACCAATGCTTGTTGAGAAGAATTAAACCATGTTAGTTGACCAGAAGAAATTTGGAGAAACCTCTGTCGAGAAGAAGGGCGAAGGAGTATGGTGTACTTGTTGCAACAAGCCTCTTCATACTCAAGAAAGATGTTGGTAATTGAATTGCAAACCTCCTAATAGAGAGTAGGGACAAAAATAGAATTATTTAGAAAAGGAGGACATGCACACGTGACTGGAAGTACTAGTGGAGACAGTCTAGTAGGAGGGGTGCACCTTAACCTAAGTGAAGTAGAAAAGGTGAGATCTTTACTTAGTAATTTGGAGAAACCAACATGTACTTGTTCTTTAACACATTCAGGTGCATTTCTATTATCTTTTCCATTTGACAACTCTCTATTTTCGTTTGGAGTTAATGCTTCAGATATACACTTTAAACAATACTGGATACTAGATTCTGGAGTCACTGACCATATGACACCCTTACCCACACACTTCTCCACTTATTCACCTTGCCCTAGTAATAAAAAAATATTCGCTGCAGATGGCACCCTTATAACTGTAGCAGGTGAAGGAATAATTCAAATTAACTCGTCCATGACTCTTAAAAACTTCCTTCATATCCCAAAATTGACTACTGGCCTAATTTCCATACATAAACTCACATAAGACATATCATGTAATATAATTTTCTATTATAACTCTTGTGTTTTTCAGGACAAGAATTCAGGGAGGACGATTGGAAGCTCTAGAGAATGAAATGGTATTTACTACTTGGATAACAAAGATTCAAGCCTAAATTTTCTCAACAACAACTCCTTTTTTTCAAAATCAATAAAGACCAATAGAGAGAAGGTTCTCTTATACCATTGTCTCCTGGGTCATCCTTCTTTAGATTCATTAAGCAGTTATTTCCTGTTTTATTTAAAACATTAGATGTTGAGAGTCTTCATTGTGAGATGTGTGAGCTTCATAAACACAAGCGTGTATCTTTCTCTATTAGTAATAAAATGAGTACTTTTTTTGTTTTATCTAGTTCATACAGATGTGTGGGGTCCATCTAATATTCCAAATATTTTAGGTGTTCGTTGGTTTATCACCTTTATTGATGATTGTATTAGGGTTATCTAGGTTTACTTACTTAAACAAAAATTTGAAGTTAGTCATATGGTTCCTCAATTTCTTCCTATGCTTAAAAATCAATTTGGTGTGACTATTAAGAGGAAACAGTCTGATAATGCCAAGGATTATTTTAATCTAATCTTAATTCTTTGTGTCAAAATGAAGGTATCATTCATAAGTCTTCATGTGTTAAAACACCCCTAACAAAACGGAGTTGTTGAAATAAAAATGGGCATTTGTTAGATCAAACATGTGCTATGATATTTCAAAATAAAGTTCCCAAGAAATATAAGGGCGAGGCTATTTTAACTGCATTATATCTCATAAATTGTTTTCCTTCTAATGTCCTTGCTTCCAAAACTCCTATGGAAGTCTTATCCTCGTTCTATCATAATGTGTCTACCTCTAGTAATCTTACTCCTATGATATTTGGGTGTGCATCGTTTGTCCATATTCATAG